TCCTCAACCAGCGTAGTTCCTTGAATCAACAAGGTGACTTGTCGCACTACCCCTTCACAACGAAGTCTCTGGCCACTGCCCACCATTACGGCAAAACTGGGAATGACCTCAATTTGGAGTTGGAGATGTTTGTCTGCTCGTGGTTGCACAAAGTTGTGAGTACTTCCTCCATCGACCAACACTTGGAATGACGATCCACTCACTTTCCCAGTGAATCGCAAAGTTGATAGAGAGATTCCACCGGTTAAAGCATGGTAAGAAATAGCTGATTGCTCCTGTAATTCCAAATATTGCAACTCCTCGGCTAAGAAATCATCAGTAACAAAGGATTCCGGCAAGCCAGGGTCTACATCGGATCCATCCGTAAGCAATAAAAGCTAAGGAGGTGTCTTACATTTATGACCAGCAGTATATTTCTCTTCACAAAAGTAGCACAATCCACGTTCACGACGACTCTGTAATTCGGCGTGAGATAGGCATTTGAGAGGTGGACGATTTGGTGGGTAAGAGCTAGATGCTGCTGGGATGAGTGGACTAGAGAATTTTGCGATGTGGGATGACAGTGCAAAATTAGGTGTGGGTAACAGGGGTGGCGTTTTGGTGAAGGCGGGTCGGATAGACCATTTTTCAGCCGGGATCCTTTTTTTGTGAATATGGGCCAAATCTAAAGTCTCCTCATAAGTTTTTGGCTTATGGAAAAGCACTGAATTCTTAATATCTTCTCGGAGCCCAGAAATAAAGAGACGTACCATACGACCATCGGTCATGTCGTCTATTTCATTGGCAATATTCTCAAACTGACTCTGAAAATCTGATACGGTGGTGGTTTGTCGAAGCTTTGCCAAACGTCCCTCAGCTGATTCTAACCCTTTCTGACGGAAACGAATTCTCACTTTTCTTGCGAAATGATCCCAATCCACCAGTTATTTATTCCAAAAGAGCCAACGATACCATTCGAGAGCTTCGCCGTCCAAGTAGAAGGAGGCTATTGAGAGCCTTTGATCCTCTGCTATGTGGTAAAAATCGAAGTAGCGATCTGCTTGAAAAATCCAGGCCTTCGGATTTTCGCCACGAAACCGCCCTATCTCCACCGGACCTCTGTGGAGAAGAATCGATGCTGCTGGAGGTTGGTCATCGGGTAGGTCTCTCCCATGGCGATGGCGAGTGACATCCATCGTTGGGTCTCGATGTTGATTTCCCACCACTTCCAGTAACAATGAACGGATATCAGCAAGGATTGATTCCTTCACTCCCTGAACTGATTCTTCTACGAGAAACTTGAGTTTTTGGTCATCCATTTTGGACCTCTGGATGAAAGCACCAATGTTACAAATTCAAAAGAGCAGAAGGGTGAAACTTAAAGGAGCAGAAACTAGTACCACCACTGTTGATTGATTAAACTCGAACTCGATTACAAAGATAAAGCCGACTGAAATCTCAAATGCAGAAATTACAATGAAATACTGGAACTAACAGTAACTAATGATAAAGGAAGCAGAAGGAGATGAGGAATACAGAAGAACTGGGAAGAGAAATAGAATCATTCATAACAACTAAATCCCTGCTTCACAATGCCGACTTCGTGGTGCCTTATACTGCTGCCCAACTAATTTTACCCCTTGTCACGAGCATTTTCCCCTTTCCAGACATAGTCCCCAAGTCGTTTAGGCGGAATGATCGTTTTAGAAGTCTTGCGTGGCATTCCCATGTGCTCTGCTTGCGTGGCTTCCACGTCATCTCTATTTTCATTCACAACACTTGTCCCGTAAAGTTCTCCTCCTAAACATGATTCTCAAACCCTATATGGCTACATTGTGGATGCTATTGAATGAGAAGGAAGGATCCTCAATTTATAGAAGTCCAAACATTTTCCTATAAGAAAAGGGACTAGCCAAATATGGAAGATTTATAATTTTCTTCTACAAGAAGAAAAACCCAATTATGGTAAACATGTCACCCTTTCTTTCAAGAGATAGAAAAACCAAATATGTTAAAAAAATTAAGACAACACCTAACAATTACGGACACGTAGATCTTGCATCATTGCATGTATAATACCATATATATATCATGAACTTAATTGTATAACCGATTCATGTATCTCCATGTATATGGAACACTTAACTGTACAATGTATATCACGTATATATATCATACACATCACTGTATGTCACACATAAACCTTCATGGATACACACAAATATACATATCGGAGATACATTTACAGTGCAAAAATACCATTTCAATTCTCAACTCCATCTAGAAAAGTTGGAAGCTCATATAGTCAGGCTAGGTCTCCAAAGTTAAAAAGACGGTGAGTTTCAAGATTGACTTGGCAGTGACAACTTCATATTCATCCAATAAAATCAGAAATCAATGTTCGTTGTTGGAAGCAACTGTACAAATCTGATTTTTTTTTTTAGGGCGGCTCAAGCACATGTGTGGCCTAAAGCCAAGGTTTAATGTGAAACCTAATTTTTTAAAAGAAAGTTATAATATATATTTTTATTTGAAGTTTATAATATACTATATTTTTAAAATGCAAGGTTATTAATAATTTTTTATAAACGATTTCCTCTAATAATTCCTTTTCGATTGATAATATAGCCAACCCACCCATTTAATCTTTCTTGAGACATTATTGATTTTAGGTAAAATTTTATCAATTTTAATTTTGAAAAAACTTATTTTCGTTGCGGCAACTGTTATATAAATTATTAACATTATTCTATAAGCAATATATGCATTTGAAAAAGAATCCAGTCTTTTCATTTGATTGAGTATATCGATTAAAGTATTATCTTCTACTTGTACGTTAGGAAAACTATTCATCTACCCAGTTTTAAGTAAGTCAAATGGCTACTTGATTTACACATCTAAAATACTTTCCTCTCTATGAAAAACTCTAGTTACATATTAAAAGTACTAAATATTATTTTTAAAAAATATTCATAAACCTATTATTTCAAAAAAGGGGCCTCCCAAATTTGAGGGGTAATATCACTTTTAATCCGCGGCAGAAACTATTTACATCTGATAGTCGAAAAAGTGTATAAAACTTATATAATTTTTATATATAACATACATAATGTATATATACATAATAAAATATACAAATTTTATATATTTTTCAGTTATTATTTTTACAGCGGCTATACAATGTCATTTTTCGAAATTTGAGGGACTAAGGCACAAGCCTTACTAGTAATAACTTTAGAGCCGGCACTGCTTTCACGGTCAATGGAGGATTGCAATTGCCAACATTGGAAAGGAGTGGAGAGGAAGAAGGATACAGAAGAGAGAGTTGGAGAGGGATAATTATTACTCTTTCCGTTCACTTTTATTTGCCTACTATATTAAAAATATATTTTTATTTTTACTTGTTTATTTTAACAAATCAAAAAAAAAATATTTTTTTTTTCTTGTTTTATCCTTATAATTAATTACTCATTTTTAAAATTATTTCCCAAGACTCTTTGAATGCTATCATTATAAGGGGTTATATGGTAAAATACATGCTACAATTATTATTTCTTAAGGGACGTGAAAAATCGAAATTGAACAACTAAAAGTGAACAAGGGAAGTATATCGGTATGATTGGATATTATATCGTGTTTTGTGGAATATGGCTATAGAATATTAAATGTTTTGGACTTTTTTGCCAAATGTATTCTAAGGTCGAAACTTTTCCAATAGCAATTATGTGTTGCCATCTGGTATCAATTTCACTCCAATAATAAATGTCAAAGTCTGAATCACATTATAATAATTTCGAATTACAGTAGTTTGGTCTTTCCTATTTTCCTGCTAACTAGTAGAAAAAGAAAACTATGCAATTTGTCGCATTGCTAACATCTGTTATTTTAATTTTCATAGTATTCTATTTCGTTACATCTTTTTTTTTTCATGGTCCCCTTAAATTTAACAATTAGTAATTATTTGACGAAGACCATGAGTGCTTATTTTTGACAAGCTTAAAGGACCAGTCTATAAAAGTATTTTTAAGCGTTTATTTTAAGTCTACCCTTAAACATAAGAAACTATTTTTGTCATTTTCTCAACTAGTAACCTATGTACCAGAAATGTTATTCTTAATTGAAAAAATAAATCAACTAATTTAATTGAAAAGGCTCGTCCTAATGATATGTTTAAAAAAAAACTTAAAATATTGAAATTGAAGAATTGCTATTCTTGCACGCAAAAAAAATTATTTTTGTGCTTAATTTAATGCTTTTTCTATAGATTTATTTCTGAACTGTTTAGAAAAGATAGGAAACAGTGGCTTTTTTTAAACCTAAAGTCCGCTACCTTATGCCACATGTACAGTGAAAAGACAAAACGATAAATCGATAATTAACATGTTCAACAAAGCTTAACGCGTATTGACCATTAATTAGTATACCTAATTTGTTGTTGTGGGGCACCCTTAATTACATCATCATTGTGTTGTTATTAACGAATTAGCGACAATATAATTTAAGTTATATATACACTAACAAATAAAATAGAATACTTACATAATTAAATCACTTATAAGATAACTATAGATACATTTTTATGATAACATTAATTGGTAATTTAATTAAATTAGTAACTAATACTCCTAGATTATATATATCACATATTAAATAACCTTAATTGTAAAACTTTCTAACGTTATCACCGTATATAATACAAATTCTATTAGAAATAGTCTTATCTACAAGTCCTCTTTATGAGTTTATGGTATTGCATGCTTTAGTGAATAATGGCCTTACAAATCGTTTTCCTTTTTCTCTTCGCGAGACTTCATTTTATTATTCTAAATTTAGATAACGCCTAGTTATAATTCCAAGAGCACCCCAAAAAATATAAAATCTAAGATCACTATAGACTTTTAGACTAAGATCATTTTATTGTTGAAAGTTGAAAGCACAAGACAGACCTTTCAGCATCATCGACGATCTAAATTAAATAGAAAGAAAGAGGGAAGCATAACAATTCTAAATTCACATATATATCTTCTTAATTAAGCTCATTAAAATACATGTAACTTCCAAAAATCTGTACAAATCACTCAAAATTCTCATTATATTCTAATACACTCAAGAGGAAGGATTTAGCATGACTTCATCTTGCTCAATGCGATATTTCAAGCAAACACAACTTCTTTTTTCTTTTTCTTTTTTTGGAAAGTCTTGCATCTAATACTACTATTTTATGTCAATAGGGATACCCTATCGTTTCAAAAAAGAGAAGGGATCCCTATAGACTAACATATTACAGTATTAATTAAATTCCAAAAAATATATTTTACAAACTGGTTTTCTAATACTAACAAAAACTAATTCCATGAATTAAAAGAAGGAACGCTTAGCGGGAGCTCTGCCAACAGCTCTCATCAAGTTGCAAATTTCAAGAACTTTAGCAACTTTTGTTCCTCTCTTTGCTTCAGCAGATGCCCTTCTTTCCTCTGCCTTTCTCCTTGCTTTTGCTATATCATTCTGCATCTTCTCAAGAGCTTTTGCTCTCTTCTCCTCCAGCTTCCTCTGAAAGACCAAAAAAATAAAAGACGCTAAATAAATAAATAAATAAATAAAAATATAAAAGAAAAGAGAGAAACTAGTGAACATTCTTGATCGCATACTCTGTTGCGCTTGCATTTCAATTGAAGAAAATGTTCAATCATTCAGTCACTACTTTCAAACGACTTTAATTTTATTCACGAACAATCTAAGTAAACTTTATATTATAAGATCATTCAAAATAATTACTTGTAACTAGTTGTAATAAGTGAATATGGTTAACTTGAAAAATCAAGTAGACAGGGTGCAACGACACAGATAGGCAACATTTACAAGATAATTAAGGTTTACAAATCACAGTGATTATATATAAAATAGCTAAACTAAACTAGAATTACAAAGACTCCTAATATATACTATTTTCTCTGTCACAATTTATGCGGCGGAACTCGAATTTCGAGAGTCAAACTTCTTACTTTTAATCGTGAATTCAGACATATAATCTTTAAGTTTTTTGCAATATTTGAAAACTACGTTGAAAATACTATAAGTTACAATAAATGACAATTCAAAATATCTAAAAAAAAAACATATGAAAAAATTACGTTCAATGAAAAACTCTTTTGACCATCTCGAAATCCAAACTCCTTTGCGCAAATTGGGACAGAAGGAGTACTAAATTTTAAGAATTCCCATCGTAGAAGGGCAGTGCAAATGGGGCAGTCAGACTATTATTGGACTCATTTAGTAACCAAATTCCAAGCATATTCTCCTTATCACTACAACCTCCAATTAATTAGTGGTGTATAAAACTGAACCAATCATGTGCACAATCAATATATTGTAGGAAAAAAAAAGTCCTGATTTTTAGCGATCACGCAAACTACTGCAAATTAAGCTGATTAGAATGAACAACTTAATATTATTTGACAACCAATTTTTCTTATAATTTATTGTCAAAGTCAAATCTCAATTAATTAACGACTTTACGATAACATATAAACTCATAACCAATTTAAAAATAGAGTAAAATAAACTCTTAATCCATAATAAACAAGGTGAAAATTTAAGTTAGTGTTGAAGAAAGGATAACTAAAGATAACCAGAAAAAATATATTAACCAACTGGAGGTTTGAAGAAAATTGGAAAACAGAATGTAAAAAGACTGGGAAGAACAAATAAAAGAAAAAGTAAAACATGAAAAAAAATTAATAAATACAAATGGATGTAACGTACCTCAACTTTCTTCATCCAAGAAGTAGCTTTTTGAACCTCTTCACTTTCCCAGCCAATAATAACAGCATCTTCACGCTTAAATCTGTTATTAATCTTTGAAATTTTAGCATTTTGCCATGCATTAATCTTTGATTCAACCTCTTCTTTTTTCACCCTTTGAACAGTAATTTCTCCATGGTTAATTCCACTCATAGAATTACTAACCACATGATCTCTAGAAGAAGGATTATTAATAGTGTCCAAACTCAAAGGGTTACTATAATTATCTGGAACAATAGCTAAAGGATTTGTTTCCTCTATTGTTTCATAATCATCTTCACCAATTCTTCCCAAAATATTGCTATTGTTATTATTATTGTTGTTGCTGTCGTTTTCGCTACCATGGTTGTTGCTTATTGAAGATCCTGCAAGAACTAAGGCATTGAATTCTCTACTCATGGTTGAGAAATTCTCACTTGATGCTATTTCTGTACTGGCTGTTGATAAATTTGTAGATGATCTATGGCTATTAGTTTCCCAAGTTTCTCTTTGACGGCCACGATTTGTTGATGGAGGCCTTGGTGGGGTCAGAGCATAGATGTCTCTGATTTGTTCTTCTTCTTGATGATCTTGATCATGATTATTATGTTCTTGAACAAGAAGACTTTCTCTGCTACTACTTGCTATGGCACTAGGTCTTTGATAATTCAACATATCAATATTTTTCTACTTTTAGATTTTTGGTTTTTAGTGTGTATTTGGGTTGAGTTCTAGTAGTGGGAGGAGGTGGGGTTTAAGTGCAAAATAATATAAGGGAAATTAAAAGGAAAAGAATTAATTAGATAATTACCTTGATTTTGTGATATGGTCAAATCTAAAGAACGAGTGGAAAAGATAAATAAATATCTAAGGATGGTCCAGTCGTACGAGCCACACATGCACGTAGGAATAGTAACTCCACGAAGGAAGGAATGAGAAGAGTGCAAGAAATTAGTGTACTACTTTGCATTGAGGATTTAATAGTCATGTTTAGCCAGTATTTCAAAAAATGTTTATTTTAATAAGTATTTTTGTTAAAATGGTTTTTTGGAAGTATTTTTGAAGAGTTAGATATTCGTTAGCAGTATAACTCTTATGTATATTTAGTGTACGTTATCTTACTACGACATGTGTTTTTGTAATAAAGTTATTGGGTGTGCGAAAAAGGTTTCGCTTTGGTACGTACCTGAATAGATTGGGAACCTACATATAAGTTGTTGGATACTCTTATGGTGTGGGGCCTTGGAAAAAATCACATGGGCTGGTCCAAAACATATCATATCACACCATGTTAAGAGTATCTCTAAGTTGTTTTAGCCCAACAATCGATTCTTCAAGATTAGTATAGTGATGACACGATGATTGTGTGGGGCTCGGTTTACTTACCCTTACAAGCTTGGCAATCATCTCTTAATGATGAGGCCTTTTGAGGCAAACCATAAGGGCTTGACTCAAAGCGGATAATGTCACACCACATTAATAGTATTTTTGAACTGTTTTAGTCTTATAAAAGCATTTTCTCGCAATAAATAAAATGATCAATAATGACATAACAAAGTTTACTAATAACCTATTTGGCCAAGCTTCTCACCATGCCAAAAGTGCTTTTTAAAAAAAAAAGCGCTTTTGGCTAGAAGCATAATCAGTTTTGAAAAAGCAGAAAAAAATAGCTTCTCTCCAGAAGCAGAAGCAGAAGCAGTTTTGACTTTTCTTCCTACCAAAAATACCTTTTACAAAATATTATATATACCAAAATAGCCTTACTTAGTTTAAACTAATAAGTAATATAAAATGACTTTTGGGATGAACTTTCATATTTATTGGATGATTTTTTGATATATTTAAATTATCTTGAAAGAATAAAGTACTTTTCAATTTTATTTTTATATTTTACTTAAATAAAATAAAAATTAATTATTATCTTTAATATTAAATATTTATAATTATTTATTTACTTATATAATATTAACTATTAAGCAAATCTCTTCATGTCTTTATTTGTAATTTGACACATAAAAGCACTTTTTGAAAAGTTTGGCCAAGCATAAATTATTGTTCAAATGTGTTTTTCAAATTGATTAGTCAAACACAAACTGTTTTTCTCCAAAAGTACTTTTTAAAAAAGCACTTTTTAAAAAGCACTTCTCAAAATAAGCTGATTTTTTCAGCTTGGCCAAACAGACTATAAACACTCGTTAGCTATATTGAATACTCCATTTAGTATTGAAAAGCTATTTTTTGTTTATAAAAATGGTAAGAAGTATATCATCGTATGCTAATTATATAATTCAAAAAGCTAAAACTATAGACCAAGACTACAAGGAGGCATTCATCTCATGTAATTATCAAGATCCATAAATGAAAGTGTAATCTTTAGAGCACATGTTTTTTTTTTATGTTCATTGTACTATATTCATGCGCATTCTCCCTATAATAACCACTGCATAAAATAACTTTAATATTCATGCACATTTTCTCTAGTAATTAAGTTTTTCAGCTATAGATTGAAAAGCAATTCTCTATTCAAATTGTTTACATATTAGAGGTTACTACGAATTAGACATATAAATGCACAAGATTTTTTACAGCATTGCAAGAGGTGTTATTGGCATGTTGAAATTCAATTGAAGATCCATCACAAATTACATAAACATTCTAAGTAATATACTTAAATTTTCAACTGAAAAACTACTGCGGAGGTAAATTGACTATTTTCCAGTCTAAAAACCGTAAAAAAAAAAGAAGAAGAAGGAAATAATGATTTTGCGTTCTTCAATAGAAGTGAAAAACTTTCAAAAGCTTTCAATTAGAAAAAAAAACTGAAAAAAGAATTTGAGAAATGTTATAAGAAAAATTAAATTATGGTGGATGTCTACTCTTCCTCCATGATCTTCTCAAATGCTTAATGACATATTCAATGACATATTTTTCTTCACTTTTCATGCCTATATAAAGGCCTTATAATAGATAAGAAAATACACACAATTGAAGAAGAAAATCTCTTCCTTCTCTCTATATTTATTTCTTGTTCATATTTTACTAAATTACTTTTATTTTATAATAACTATCTTATTTATGTTTTACTAAATTATTTTTATTTTATTGCAAGAAAACTTTTTTCACCATTTTAATTGTAAAAATCACTTTCTGCTTTTGTCTCAAAAAGTAGTGTCGGCGAGAAATGCTTTGCTTGAGAGGAGCCCACAAATAGTATAGTAGGTAATGGTGGACCACCATACACAATTTACACACGCGTCGTATCTTATCAGTCAAAACCAAAAACAAAGAAAACACGAGAAGACTACCCATTGGTTAATATTAAGCTCTTGTCTTACGTCAATTTATCGATGCGTGACCTTGTAGTGGTCAGATAAAGGACACGTGTAAGACTAATCACGAATAAAATATTAAAGGCTTTCAAGATGCCCACGTCATACGTAATAATCAACATTATCAATCCCTAAAGTTTAGTTTTACACCACCAAGGGTTTGTTTGGTCGGAATATAAATTATGTTAGAGATTAGTTATATTGAGATTGATTATATTGAGATAGTTATTCTGATATTATTTTTTATTTACTTGTTTGGTTTATTATATTAATTCTGTAATTATTAATTTTACAGCTTTATCCTATGTTAACTTATCTTGGGATTACTATTTTATTTTTTAGTAGGTATAAGTTATCTCGGTACTATTTTTAATCCTGAAATTACTTATTTCAGAATTAGTATCAAAATAAGGGATAAAACGATACTAAATTTATATTCAAAAATTATTTTTGTTTATCTATCGTACCAAACGACCCCGAAAGGTTGAGTAAATGATAAGTATTCCTTTGTCCCTAAAAATAAAGTGAAACTTTCCTATGCTAATTTGAATTAATTGAATCTCATATGGAGTACAAGTTACCGAGTGAGAGACAAAAAGAAAAAGAAGCTTACTTTTACTTTGTTATTTGAACTTTCCTATTTCCTAATCAAATATAGTGAGTGGGTGAAAGAGGGTGGAATATTACATGCGTCCATTAAATTTGTTTTGTTGCAACAAAGTTAGACCATGACACTGGAACATATTAGGTGAAAAGGATATTATGAATATTTTTTGTACTTTTTGTTGTTTATTTTATTATAGTTGGTGATCTCCACTGGTGACTAAGGTTTTATGAAAGTCACATTTGAAGTAGATATTTTGTCTGTCTCCGTTAAATAATACTACGTAATATTACAATTTTGTAATGGATAGTCAAGTCGTTATAGTCGAGAAATGATATAGTAGCATCACTAGATATTTTCTTCTTCTTTTGTTGTTGTCAAATTAATACTCCTCCAATTTCAATTTATATATCTTGCTTTCTTTTTTAATTTGAAAAAATATTACCTTTATATTTAGTAAGCTTTTAGTTTCAACATCCATGTTTTAGCTTAATGACACTCCCTCTTGGAACAACAATACATGTCTAAAACCACAAAATTCAAGGCTATTTTTGGTATGTTATCTACACATTTAATGTAGTACCACAAGCTTAATTTTTTTATATTCGTAAATTATGTGTTAGTCAAATTAAAACACATAAAATAAAATGATGGAATACCATATAATCATAGCGAAAAAATGTCATCATAGAGGATATCAACGACTAAACTTAAAAGGTTAAAGAACTTCTAAATGATATAATTTTACTTGATTATTAATATAATGAGAAATAGAATCATAAAAAAATGTTAGCACCTTTTGCTTTTTCTAGAAAGTTGCGAACATTATCAATTTATTTCATATATAGTACATTTGAATTTCGAAACAGGTACATTAACTTTTTCAACATTTATCATCTTGTAGGCCATTACTAATTTGACTGGTATATTTTTCACTTCGTTGAAAGTGGGGCGTGTGCTCACATACTAATAAATAATGATAATTGTATAAAGTTGCTCCTAACATGAGAAGGAAAAGATATATTGTTCACCTATGGATGTCCAAAAATGTCAAAATCTAGATGATAAGGAAAAGATACATACTATGAGTAGGGGTGCCAAACTAGTGGGTCGGTTCGGATATAGGACATGTCGAAAATGGGTAATGCAAAAAATGAATAAATTATCGAACCATATTTAATACGTATAAAAAAATGGGTTAATCGACGAATGAAACGGATATCCATATTATCCATGGCTTCTTGAATATGATCACTGTTGGAGAATTCTTAGTCTCCTAAACTTGAAGAATCCCCAATTTGAGGTTTTACAAATGTAAAAGTTAAACCCATTAGTTATCTATTTTCTAAGTGGATAATATGATTCTTATCAATATTTGACCCGTTTTTAAAAAGTTCATCATTCAACCCATTTTTTAATGGATAAAATAACAACAACAACAACAACAACAATCCAGTATAATCCCACTAGTGGGGTCTGGGGAGGGTAGTGTGTACGCAGACCTTACCCCTACCCTGGGGTAGAGAGGCTGTTTCCGATAGACCATCGGCTCCCTCCCTCCAAGAACTCCCCACCTTGCTCTTGGGGTGACTCGAACTCACAACCTCTTGGTTGGAAGTGGAGGGTGCCTACCACCAGAGCAATCCACTCTTGTCTTAATGGATAAAATAATTGGATAACTATTTTTTTTTATCCATTTACTATGAGTGTCAATTTTGATTCATTAAATGTGTAAGCTGTCAAGAACCTCCAAATTTAGCAGATTGTGCGAGTAATGTGTTCATATAAGGGTTGTAACTAAACCATAAGTTGTCCATTCAAAAATGTTGGGTCAATTTGAGTACCATAAGTGTTCATTTAAGCCCAAATCAATACATAAAGGAGTTCTATGAACAAAAGAGAAGAGACAAACAACTGGTTTTAAATGAAGGATGCAATTTACTTTAATTGAGACACAAGTAAAAATTTATCTGCACCCCATATTTACGCCGAACCAATGAATATAAGAGATATGTCCTTCATATATATATATTTATAACCTAACTATACTTAAGCGATATGTATTCTTACTTTATTTTTTAACTGATAAGGTTAAATTGCTTAGTTTAATGTAAATATCATACGCGGGTAAAATTACAATAGTCTACTGCTTTAGATCGGGTAAATTTATTGCCTATTAAGTTCTTTCCTAAGGAATAAAATGTGCATCTGAACCCATAGAGTTTAATTCTAAAAACCTTAAAATTTGAACCCATAGAATTTAAATCCGCCCGAGTGTGAGTTTCTCATGGGAGAATACTGATAATGGGAAAATGAAGCTGATTAAATCTCCTCTGTAATAAAGCTATCTGGATTATAGAATTTAATATTGCTCCCACATTTTGCCCTCTTCCATTTAGTTTTTATCCTGTTCCAATGTAATGAATTTAGCCCTGATTAGGTCATTCAAGCTTCTTCTGGATTTACTCTCTTATCACAACTCTCGAAACCCCTCCCCTCCTCCAAAACCCAAAGAGAAATAAAGGAGTTCTAAAAGCGGGTGATTTTTGCAATATATTGCTAATAGAGTAATATTTACCAAAAATCTCTGCAAGAACAAACTCCATTGACAAACCTGTGGAACCTAACTCTGTCCCTAACAATGATCTCTCTGTTGTATAATCTACTAATTATCTTTGTCACTTCATGGCAGTCTCTACATACTCTAAGATTCTTCACTATCCTAATCACTGTTGGTGCTTTTGTCTTCAAAAGGCCAAACGCAATAGCCAACCTTTCACTGTGCTCACATAGAGCAATTTCCTTCTCTTCATCACTCACATTGTGCAGTATAGTAGCAATCCAAGGTTCATGACCTGTAGAATATACCCTTTGCGATATATCTCTTAGGACTTCTTTGATCTCCTCTGCTTCAGGGTGCGACCAATCACCCATTATGAACTCGTGCACAAGACCGTCAACTTCAATGGAACTGCATCCTGGCATTGCCTTAATCCCTTTGTCTTTCATCTGCTTCCTCACGTGGCGCATTTTTTCCCAGTCTGATACCGATGCATACAAACTAGACAGTAGGATATAGTTCTCTGCATTCCACGGCTCTAATTCAATGAGATGCTGGCCGAGAATTTCACCTTTGTCCAAGATCTTGTTCTTTTTGCACCCAAAAAGTAATGTGCGCAATATTGCTGGACACGGGGTGAGTGGCATGGCTTCGACAAATGAATAAGCTTCATCAATTAAGTTTGAACGGCTTAACAGATCGACCATGCAGCCATAGTGCTCTAAAGATGGCTCAATACCAGACTCAATCATGCTTGCCCAATACTTTTTCCCTTCAAAAATTAGTCCACTATGAGCACAGGCCATAAGTACCCCAACAAGTGTCACATGGTTAGGTTCCACCTGAGAGAAAATTCAAAAATAGATCACAGATAAGCTGCTAACAGTCAATACATCAAAGATTTAGCATTCAATTTATCTGATTTTTATGCAAGCATTCAACACCAAGCATAATAAGCACAAACTCATGCACTTCTTTAATGTTTTATGTGCATCAAGATGACATTTTTTTATACGTTTTTGTAAGAAAAATTGCATCTTACAGCATTGTTCATAGTCATTGCATTACCTTAGCTTTATCCATCCTGGAAAATGTCACCAATGCATATTCTGCGAGCCCATTTATCGCTAAACCAACTATCATTGAGCTCCAAGCCTTGGAATCTTTAACAGGCATCGCTTCAAATAACTCGATTGCCTTCTCAATGCATCCACACTTTGCATACATGTTAACAAGCGCAGTACTAAGCTCAAGATCATTCTCAATCAATCTCCTGTCGATATAAGCATGCACCCACCTCCCCAAATCTAATGCCCCAAGCATAGCACAAGCCGATATCACGCTCACCATTGTCACCTTATCGGGCGAAACACCTGTCTTCTGCATTTCCCTAAACAAACTTAAAGACTCATTCAACATCCCAAGTCTCGAATACCCGCTAATCATTGCACTCCAAGCAACCACATTTCTCTCAGGAATTTCATCAAACACTTTCTCCGCCAGCCCAATCTCTTCACATTTCGCGTATAAATTCAACAATGAGGTTTGAACAAAGGGGCTTGATCCAAACCCAGATTGTATTACATGCTTATGCACTTGTTGGCCTTCCTTAAATTCTGCCAAAAGTGAACATGCCTTCAAAACAAATGCTAAAGTGAAAGTATTTGCTTTTGGGTAATTTTTCTTGAGCAGTTTCTTGAAAATAAAAATGGGTTCTTGAGATGGGATTTGGGATTCAAGAAAACCTCTGATGAGAGAATTATAAGAGAAAATGCTAGGGTTTGGGATTTGGGTAAGGACCCGTTTGGCATAATTGAGGCTCCCATTGGGAGAAAGGGCTGCAAAGGCGAGAACTTTGGAGAGAATGAAGGAGATAGTGGGAAGTGGAATAAAGGAATGAGTAGTGGTTATATGGGCATGAATTTGATGGAGGACTCTCAGATTGGGGCATTTTGAAATAAGTGAAACGAGTCTTGATTCTACTTCTTCCAGCTCTTCTAACTTGCCTATATTCTTCTTTGATGTTAGGAGACTGATATATTCTTTGCGGTGAATTTTGGTAACTGGAGTGACTGAGAACTTCAAGTACTGTACTTGGTAGCCGAGCCTGGAACTGAGTGAGACTATCTAGAGAGATTTTAGAGGCAAAACAAGAATTTGAAATTAGGGAGTAGAGTACAATATATATATATGGATGTTGCTATGTTAGTAATGTACCCACTTTTGATTTATCCAAATTACCCCTCTCAATCTTTGTTACCTTATTAATTGTTCGGACTATTTTGTCTTTTCACTTTAATCCACCATCACTCATCAACAATCTCCCCCGTCTCTCTTATGGCAAGTCCCCAGGTGATGTTCCATGAACATCATGAATGAACAGAACTCATGATTCTCACAATCTGAGCTCTCAAATACCATGAATGAATAGAACTCTTCAAAATTCGAAGTTAAGCAGGTACACATAAGGAAACCCATTTATTAGATCTTAAAATCAAGTTGCAGAAACGGAAGAGAATGAGTTAACCAAAAATCAAATAGTTAGCCAGAACCTTTTTTAATCCATGAAAATATGCAAAGAACACATTCTTCGATTCATCAAAAATTTCTGCGAGCAATTAATCATTTCTTTAAAAATGATACTCCATTTCATTTCTCATATTTTATTTCCCATAAAATTATCCAAGCAAAGATATGACTTGCAAGTTCAATATGGAAGAGAAAGGGGCTCTTTTGCTAGCATGAAGCTGCATTGCTATTAAAATTGGCAGCTTCGTTGATGAAAGAGAAAAAAAAAGAGATTAAACACACAGCGAAGACGATAGAGAGAGAAAGGAGGAACACAAAAGGGGTTTAGTTTTTTGACGGAAAGACCAAAAAGCCCCTCTCATTAATGTGTTCTTAAAGACTATTGAGGGTATTTAAGTAAAATTAAAAGTGGGTACAATGCTAACGTAGCAAGAATATATATATATATATATATGCGCGTGCTAGTTTCTTTGCCTTGCACGTGTATTATGTTAATTTTTTATCGAATATATATATCAAATACTAAAAATAAATAATGCATATATATTTAAAAAATATTTGATTTAATTATAAATTACAAAGTTAAATGCACCAAAAGCTAGCATAATGTAACCTTAAGATCTTTTATAATTAAAATTAAATTATTCTCCTCGACCAACTCTATCTCTGACTTCTACTTTTCTAGGCATCATGGTATCACTTATACTTCGATATATCTCGCTTTTTAAAATTCATTGCTCCAATAGAAAATGTCGAAAGAGATTGATTAACTTTATGATCTTCGCCATATTATTCAGCAATAATAATATCAATTGAGTCTTGGTATCATTATTTTCTCAAGGTTAATTGCTCTTTTCTACAATATTTAAGTATCGATTTTTATATTTTAATGTACATGTCAGGCACAACATCTTCAATTTTATCATATATACATATAAGTAATATTTATTTATACATCAACAAATTGTAGAGTTCAAATCTCATCGATGAATATGAAAGGTTGAATTGTATAGCAATAATTTTTTTAAGTAATTCTTATATACTGAATAAAATTAGATAATCATAAGATAAAATTAAGGGCAAAGATCCACAAACCCCTGGTACTATTCAAAATTATTCGATTTCTGATTCTCCAATAAACTCTTAGAGCTTGATATCTTCCTCGGGTGACTAAACTTGTAAGGATATTTCCTTCTCTTTTCATTTAATCAAATGAGACTTAGATAATTAAAGGCAATGCAAATTCAACAATGAAACATTCATAAGTTTTGAAATAAAAAATAAAAATAAAATGGCACTTAGATTAGATGAAAGTATTAAAAGAATTGATACATCTATTAACAAAGTATTTTCGATTCTTCATTAGAGTTATCTTATAAACTTGTTTCACATAAAGAAGCTTAGGATACATTAGAAAGATCGCCAAAAAAATAGTCAAACGCCAATGAGAAGAAATGATGGATAGTTAAAGTTACTATTCAACTTACACGTACAATTTTATTTCTGTAAGGAGTTGTTTCTGTCTTGAATTGGGGGAGAATTTTGGCGCAAATTACGGCAAAAATCAAGGAGAAACTAGTTAATTAATCTATCATGTGATCCCCACTATATATTTTTAATTAAATCCAAAATAGGATTTTTCCACTATATTAAGGGTTGTGACCATTTGTAGAAGAGGGCAGATTCATTGAGATTTACAGAACATCAAGCAAATACTATCCTTTTTTGGGCTTTGATATTGATTCATATTGTTCTTTTATCAATCACTCTCCATTCAATTTGGACTTGCATTCATTTCTTCTACAGTTAATTTCGATATACATTTACTTATTTTTTTAATTTGTACCAAGTTATACCATGTATCCTTAAAACTACGTATAAATTCAGTTGCTATCCATTTTTCGGGTGAACAGTTTGGCGCCCACCGTGGGGCTAAGAATAATAGTAGTTATTTGATATAAATCTCTGTAAAACACACACTATTTTACACTTGCTCTTGGAAATGTCTTTGATTTCAGGCTGAAAATGATGAACTCTCAGTTAATGGCCCTACCTATATATCCTGAACCACCATTAAATCTCAAATCTAGGCGGACTTCGTGGCTGACTTTATGCCGGCCTTCGTACCCGAGATTGAAAAAGAACTACTAATAAAATCGGGATCATCTTCGGGAGTCTAGACCCTCTTTACGGGCGGTGCTTCGAACGCGAAGGGGTCCGGACTAGGCATCGTACTAAAATCACGCACATGTAATGTAGTTAGACAGTCTATCAGAACTACAAAATTGACTAACAATGAGGCCGAGTATGAGGCCATGATTGCAGGTCTCGAACTAGCTAGAAGCTTGGGAGCGAAGGTCGTAGAGGCTAAGTGTGATTCCCTCCTCGTGGTAAACCAAGTTAACGGGACTTTTGAAGTCCGAGAAGATCGAATGCAGAGGTACTTGGATAAACTACAGGTGACTCTACATCGATTTAAGAAATGGACCTTGCAACATGTATCTCGAGAACAGAACAACGAGGTCGACACTCTTGCTAACTTAGGTTCATCGGTCAAAGATGACGAACTCAACTCGAGGACTGTCGTACAACTCATGAGATTGGTAATGGAAGAAGGTCATGCCGAGATAAACTCCACAAGTTTAACATGGGATTGGAGAAACAAATACATAGAGTACTTAAAGAACGAGAAGCTTCCATCAGATCCAAAAGAGTCGAGAGCTTTGCGCACAAAGGCAACACGATTCACTTTGTCCGAAGACGGAATGCTGTTTAGAAGGATGTTCGATGGACCATTGGCAATATGTTTGGGACCGGAAGATACCGACTACATCCTACGAGAAATTCACGAGGGCACTTGTGAAAATCATTCCGGTGCTGATTTTCTGGTCCACAAAGTAATCAGAGTAGGGTATTATTGGACCGATATAGGCAAGGATACAAGGGAGTTCGTTCAAAAATGCGACAAATGCCAAAGGGATGCGCCCATGATTCATCAACCCGAGGAACTACTCCACTCGGTCCTATCTCCATGGCCCTTCATGAAATGGGGAATGGACATCGTTGGCCCTCTCCCGTCGGCCCCAGGTAAGGTTCAATTTATTTTGTTTATGACTGATTATTTCTCTAAATGGGTTGAAGCACAGGCTTTCGGAAAAGTCAGAGAAAAGGAAGTCATAGACTTCATTTGGGACTAGGGGTGTTCAAAATCGAACCAAAACCGAAAACCGAACCGCAAAAATGGCTTAATGGCTTATTGGTATCGGGTTAATGGTTTAACGGATGTGGAACGGATTGAATTTTTTTTATTAGCGGTTTATCGGTTTGGGGACGGATTATTCAATTTTCTTAACGGATAATCTGTTAACCCGTTAAGAATATATATATATAATAAAAATCCCTTCTTATCGTGGGCCGTGACATTATACAAGTAGAAGTATTAAAAGTGTTTCTTTACCAGTAGTCCAATACCCTTCTTTACCAATACTCTATTAGACATTTAGATTTGAGACATTATAAACCCTAACGTCTAAAAGTGTTAATTTCCGTATTACACCCAGCGGCCAGAGCAGCAGACTCGCCGTCTCCCTCTCGCTAACTCGGCTCTCTATCTCGCCGTCTCGCCTCTCCCTCTCGCCAACTCGCCATCTCACCTCTCCCTCTCGCCATAGCCAGAGCCCAGAGTAGCAGATGGTAAGTTTCTTTACAGATTAAATTAGTATTGATCTGATCTTTATGAAAATGGTATGTGCATCATGTGCAGTTGCATCCATTGCTCCAATATCTGTAGTCTGAACTGAAAGCAGAGTTAGTGGGCACTAGCAAATTTCTCTAGTGTTTAGAGGTGTCAATTTTGGTATAACAACTAACGGGCTGTAACATGAAGGATCAAAATAGTCCTCTGTAATACAGACTGAACTGAGCCGATAAATCGCCCGATAATAGCTAAACCGATACCAATCTGCCCGATATCTTATCGGATGGCTAGCGGATTAATACATTTAAAATCCGATAACCGATAAGCCGAGCCGTTAAGAGTAAATAACTACCTGATCCGCCCGATAAGCAGCCCTATTTGGGACCATATCATATGTCGATTTGGGATGCCCTCCGAGATTGTATGTGATAATGGAAAACAATTCATCGGCAGCAAAGTAACTAAATTTCTCGAGGATCACAAGATCAAAAGGATTCTATTAACACCTTATTATCCCAGCGGGAATGGACAAGCCGAATCGACCAATAAAACCATCATCCAAAATCTTAAGAAGAGATTGATTGACGCGAAAAGAAAATTGAGAGGAATACTACCTGAGGTTCTATGGGCATACCGCACAGCATCGAAATCCAGTACTGGAGCAACACCGTTCTCGTTAGTTTATGGCGCCGAAGCTCTGATCGGGGTCGAGGTCTGAGAACCTAACATCAGGTTTCGATATGTAACATAGGAGTCGAATGACGAGACTATGAATACGAGCCTAGAGATGTCTCCTACGTTACCCATAATATATGGAAGGATCATACAAGCTTGGCACAATAAACGATAAACAACTGCCGAGCAATTGGAACGTATCGCACCTAAAACAATACTACTACTAAGGTACGACCCCTCCCATTTTCATTTATATTTTAAACTAACCCTTGCAGGTGTTCGACTAGAAACAATGATGGATTCTTCCACACGAAGCCTTTAGGTCTAAAAGCACGCGTTGCACTCTTTTTCTCTTGGACCGATTTTGGCCCAAATGGGTTTTGAGGCGAGGTTTTTAATGAGGCAACCATTAATCGTGCTAACTTAGAACAATTCAACAGTATCCGAGGCCTCTTTACAATCAACCTCGAATACTGGGGGGGCACTGCCCTCGAATATCAAGTTTGATGCGAGGAAGTTACTTCATGGCAGCAGGGTCTCGATAGGAAAACTTTGTAAGGGCCAAATGGTCAAATGAACCATGCCTGCGTAGTTTGCTCGAGCTCTGACACAGAACATGTACGCATGTATAATGATTTATAAAGAGAAGTATTCTTCTTTACCGATATCTCGTACCTTAGAAAAGTTTTTCTACTTTACAATTTCATATTCTCGATCTATTATGTAAACAGGCTTAAGGGCCGACCATGACCAGAGTTCAGATGATTACCCCCACAATCGGGGACTGCCGTCCGAAAAATAAACGAGATCGAATTATATAAACTCCGAGATCATAAGACCTTTTAGGCAACCCTCGATTTTATAGGCCGCGGCAACCCCACTCGGGGATTGCCACTTCGGGCAAGCTCGAAGTAAAACAGGAAAATAAGCCCAAGAGGTAAATCCCGAACTAAAGAGGCTACAGCCGAATTAACACGGGTCGGAGACGTCCGAATTCCGTAACAAAACAGGCTTTCGAATTCTTTCATAAACCGGTTAAAAAGGCTTACCCCGGCAAAATCATAAAAGGCTTCGATAATATCAAGCCTCGAAAACTCTAATGAGTACAAAATTGTTCGAACTCTCGAACAATTCCTTATTTCATGCCAAGGCATTACAAGTTTCGCAAATACAAATGATAAAAAACTTTTTCAAGCCGAAAAAGGGACAAAGCCATAAATAATCTTTTTACAAAAGCCTAAGGGTTTTTTTTTGCCTTGAGTTCGAGAGACCATCCTTGCTCAAATAAAAAAACTAAGGGTTACCTTACTTCGAGTTCGAGCAAGCACTCACTCGATCATAAAGTCTAAGGGCTATACTAATTCAGTTTCAATCAAATTGTCTAAACTTCGGATCTTAGAATATAACTTCATAATTTTATAAGGCGGAAAGGAAGTAAGTTTTTATATATATGTCAAAAATCATTTACAAGGGCAGCATAGCCCAATCAAGTTTCTCTACAAAAGACCGAAACGGTCTTAAAGAAAACAAAAAAAATACTAATCCTAAAGGACTTAGTCCTCTCAGGGAGCAACATCTTCGCCCTCGAGGCCTTCTTCACTTTCAGATCCACTCATACTCTTGGTATCATCATCATCAGGAAAGGCCAACACTCTGGTTTTGGCTTCAAGCTCCTTAGCATTCTCGATCTCGGCTGTAAGATCGAAGCCATGAGCATGGATCTCCTCGAGAGTCTCCTTTCGAGACTGGCATTTAGCATGCTCGGCAACCTAGTTTGCTCAAGCCTGAGCATCCTCGGCAACCTCCTTTGCTATAACCTGAGCAGCTTCAGCGTCGGACCGGTAGATGGCCACCATTGCATCAGCATTAGCCGTGGCTATTTCGACCTCCGATTTGGCCGCTGCAAGTTCTGTGGCCAGTCTCTCTCGATAAGAAATTCCTGAGCCCAACTGAGACTGGAACTCCTCGATTTTCTTGGCTTGCACCAAGGCATTCTCTTTCAAGCTTCGGGGTTGGGTCTCAGCCGAGGCCAGTTGAGCTCGAACAACCTCCTTTTCTGAGGCAAGGCGGTCCATGTTCTTCTTCCACTCCTCGGCCTCCACTTTCACTGCGTCTACTTCAACACGAAGCTGCCTGATCACACCAAACTTTTGCTGGACCTGTGGGACCGAACTATTAGCCATCATGCCCGAGTTAGTATCATTAACTTCAAAGATTCTTTTTACCTGCTCGGCCAGATCAGCTTGTTCTTCCAAGCTGCTTCTAGCTCAGCCCAAAGTCCTTTTGCTTCCCCTTTTCTCTGCTCACTGAGAAGCTTGAAGGCATCTCTCTCCTCAGTATGCCCTCAGATTTAGGCTTCGTACCGGCTCAGCTCCCCTCGGGATCAGAAAAATGCCTCGTGATAAAGCACAAAGGCCTACAAAAATAGAAATAAGGAATTATACAAGGAAAGAAAAATACAATTATGAAAATTGACAAAGAAAATATGAACTTACACGATTCAGGGCATGTTGAGCTTCATTGAAAAGACAAGATACTCCCACCTCGCCCGAGCTCTTCTTCGGAGCCTCCAAGTCACTCAGACCTGTGACATCTTCTACCTCAACAAAATAACCATAGAAAGGATCTTCCTCTCTATGGGCTCCCTCCCCGTGACAAGTCTCCACGGCATGAGCGTCGCGTATCATCGACTGGGAAAATGAAGGAAATGAGGGAGAATCCCCGATCTCTATTGCCCCAAGTAGGTTTTTTGGGGCGCCGCCTCTGTCTTGGGGAGCCTCAAGCCCAGTTTCTACATCGGCATCCACCGCCTCTTCAATGATCTATTCGCCCCGAGGTAAAGCATCTTCAGTTCCCCTCGCCTCAGGAACTTGGGCCGGAGTCTCCTCCTTGCCTTCATCGAGCCGAGACGGAGCAGTATTAACTCCCACCGGTTCCGAAGTTTTCTGAATATTGGTGCTAGCTCATGCATGGGCCATCAGCCCAGAATCACCTTCATCTTCTTTATCCCTTAGTCTTTGTACTGACTCCATAGACAGTGGGATTGTGTTTCCCTTAGGTTTACGGGTCTTTCTCTTCTTGGGTTCTTGACCCTCGGAGTTCGAGGCCCTTTTTCTCTTAATCACTTTCATCGGTTTCGAGATAGGCAGTAAAGCTTCTTCATCACTTGTCAGGGGTCTCATAGCCGTATCCTTTTCGAGACCTACAAAAGGAGAAAGTAAGTAAACTCATGTTTGAAAACAATGCTTGAACGATAGGCAAATCGGTAAGCCAAGAAGAAGGCTTACTATGAGTCTGAGCCTCCCACTAGCCCTTTGACAAATCACGCCACGCGCGCTCGGTGTATATTGACGTCAAAACCAAGCTCTTGACCTATTTCTCAAGGTGGGGAACCGCACCCGGCATCCAAGCAACGACTGCATCGAGAAAAGCACTGATAAGAAAGGATGAAGAAGTAAAAACAACAAACGGAAATTAAAGACGGGATCATACTTACGTTTCATATTCTATTTCTCAGAAAATGGCATGCTCTTAGTCGGGATTAGGTCCGTGGTCTTCACCCGAACGAACCGGCCTATCCAGCCCTGATCTTTGTCTTCATCTATACTTAAGGTGAACGCCTTGGTGTCCCGACGTTGAAGCTTTATCATCCCACCTCGGTAGAGTCAAGGGCTATATAATCTTACGAGATGGTCGAGGGTGAAGGGAAGCTCGTCGATTTTGCTCACGAAGAAACGGAGCAGTATTACGATCCTCCAGAAAAAAAGGTGAATTTTTCTCACGTGGCGCATTTTTTCCCAGTTTGATACCCGATGCATACAAACTAGACAGTAGGATATAGTTCTCTGCATTCGACGACTCTAATTCAATGAGATGCTGGCCGAGAATTTCACCTTTGTCCAAGATCTTGTTCTTTTTGCACCCAACAAGTAATGTGCGCAATATTGCTGGACACAGGGTGAGTGGCATGGCTTCGACAAATGAATAAGCTTCATCAATTAAGTTTGAACGGCTTAACAGATTGACCATGCAGCCATAGTACTCTAAAGATGGCTCAATACCAGACTCAATCATGCTTGCCCAATACTTTTTCCCTTCAAAAACTAGTCCACTATGAGCACATGCCATAAGAACCCCAACTAGTGTCACATGGTTAGGTTCCACCTGAACGAAAATTCAAAAATAGATTATAGATAAGCTGCTAACAGTCGATACATCAAAGATTTACCATACAATTTATCTGATTTTTACACAAAGATTCAACGCGGAGCCTAATAAGCACAAAGTCGTGCACTCCTTCAATGTTTTATGTGAATCAAGATGACATGTTTTTATAGGAAAAATTGCATCTTACAGCATTGTTCATAGTCATTGAATTACCTTAGCTTTGTCCATCCTGGAAAACGTCACCAATGCATATTCTGCGAGCCCATTGATTGCCAAGCTAACTATCATTGAGCTCCACGCCTTGGCATCTTTAACAGGCATCGCTTCGAATACTTCAATCGCCTTCTCAATGCATCCACACTTTGCATACATGTTAACAAGCGCAGTACTAAGCTCAAGATCATTCTCAATCAATCTCCTGTCAATATAAGCATGCACCCACCTCCCCAAATCTAATTCCCCAGACATAGCACAAGCCGAAATCACGCTCACCATCGTCACCTTATCAGGCGAAACACCAGTCTTCTGCATTTCCCTAAACAAACTTAAAGACTCATTCACCATCCCAAGTCTCGAATACCTACTAATCATTGCACTCCAAGCAACCACATTTCTCTCAGGAATTTCATCAAACACTTTCTCCGCCAACCCAATCTCCTCACATTTAGCGTATAAATTCAACAATGAGGTTTGAATAAAGGGGTTTGATCCAAACCCAGATTGTATTACATGCTTATGAACTTGTTGGCCTTCTTTAAATGCTGTTAAAATTGAACATGCCTTTAAAACAAATGCAAAAGTGAAAGTATTTGCTTTTGGGTAACTTTTCTTGAGTAGTTTTTTGAAAATAAAAATAGGTTCTTAAGATGGAATTTTTTGGGATTCAAGAAAACCTATAATGAGAGAATTATAAGAGAAAATGCTAGAGTTGGGGATTTGGGTAAGGACCCTTTTGGCATAATTGAGGCTCCCATTGGGAGAAAGGGCTGCAAAGGTAAGAGCTTTGGAGAGAATGAATGAGATAGTGGGAAGTGGAAGAGTGATGATACGGGCATGAATTTGATGGAGGACTTTCAGATTGGGGCATTTTGAAACAAGTGAAACGAGTCTTGATTCTACTTCTTCCAGCTCTTTTAACTTTGCCTATATTCTATAATGCTGGAGATTGATATATTGAATGATGAACTGGTTAGCTGTGACAACTGAGAACCTCTGGTAGCTGGAATCGAGTGAGAGTGAGAGTATTTGGATTTTGGAGGCTAATCTAGAATTTGAAATAAGTAGGTAAAGTCTAAGATATGTACATTTTCAATATCTATAAAATTATACAAGAAATTCTACCTTTGTAAATGTTAAAGAGGCAAACCTGAAAATAAAAGAACACCAAATTGTAACGTGAAAATCCTTCAAATCAAAGGTAAAAACTACGAAATCACAAAGATCCAAAAAACTCTACTATAACAATAACAAGGTTACAAAAGTTCTCTAAATTGGCTACACAACAAGTGTCATACACGAAGCAACAATATCAACAATAAATCAATTGAAGATGGAGAAGAAGTCACAAAAATGGAGCTGCAGTTAGGGGCTCGAAATCAGATGCTACAGGCCTCTAAATCCGATCATCGCCATTCTAATCAAAGACCAAGATGTTACGAATACTCAGTCAAAATTTTAGCCCGATCCAACGGTTAACGAATCAAACAATGTGATTTGAAATTAGCTGGTCGGAACAAAAATCTTCAGCAAAACAAACACTTTTCTTCTCTATTCTCTCTTGATGAAAGCTCTCTCAAAAACCACTCTTATGTGCTAAGTCTTTCAAAGACTTGTACCAATAAGCATAGAATAATTCTTCAAGGTTGTCCTATTTATAGATTATGAGTGAAACTTTCTCTTAAAGCCAAAACCAACTCTAAATAGAAATAAAAATTAAATTCAGTTGCGAATAAGAATGAAAACCAAAAGAGAATAAGATTAGGCCATTGGGCCTTTGGTTGGACAACATGGGCATGGGCCTAACAAACTCCCCCTTCAGCCAAGGGGCCAAATATGTCTTCAAGTAGAGGAACTATTGACAGGCTTCATGCCTGCCAATTTTCTGCAAAAGACATGCTTATCTATGAAGTCCTCATGCTGCTCCATATAAATCTCCTCATCTAAATCACCATGAAGAAAAGCAGTCTTTACATCCATTTGCTCAACCTCTAAATCTAGACTAGCGGCTAAGCCTAGAACCACACGAATAGAAGATATCTTCACAATAGGGGAGCAAATTTCATCAAAGTCAACTCCTTTCTTCAGGCCAAAATCCTAAACAAGTAACCTCGCCTTGTACCTAGGTGCAGAGGTATAGTTATCTTGCTTTACTATGAATATCCATTTGTTTGATAAAGCTTTCTTACTTTTCGGCAATTTCACTAACCCATATGTGCCATTCTCCTAGAGTGACTTCACCCCATCTTCCATGGCTTCTATCCACTAATCTTTGTGAGTATCTTGCATGGATTCATCATAATTCTTAGGTTCTCCCATGTCAGTCAAAAGTACATACTCACCAGGAGGATAGCACTTGGATATTTGCTTCTCCATTGTAGATCTTCTAAGAGAGGTTTCGGGAGAATTCGAAGTAGTTACCTGAGCAGGATTTGGTTGCTGATCAACCACAACTTCATCAACTGGAGCATCCATAACATCTACACCATGATGATCATTTTGAACTTGATCAGTATCTTCATTATTGTTTTGGGTTCGTTCATGTGCAATAGGTGCCTTAGCAATGGAAACTAGATCAATATAAACTAAGCTCTCATTACTCAGAGAATCTATCTTCTCAGCTTTGTCAATATCTTCAATAGTCTAGTCTTCAAAGAATATTGCATCACAACTTCTAATAAGTTTATTGTCAACAGGATCATAAAAACGACACCCAAACTCATCTTGACCATAACCGATAAAGATGCACTGCTTAGTTTTGACATCAAGTTTCGATCTCTCATCTTTAGGAACATGCACACAAACTTTACTCCCAAAAACTCTCAAGTGATCATAAGAAACATCTTTGGCAAACCAAACTCTGTCTGGGACATCACCATCCAAAGCAACAGCAGGAGACAAATTGATAACGTAAGCAACAGTATTAAGTGCTTCCGCCCAAAATGTATTTGGAAGTTTAGCCTCTAAAAGCAAGCACCTAACTCTCACAACTAGAGTTCTATTCATCCTCTCTGCCAAACCATTCAATTGAGGCTTCTTGGCCAGAGTTTTTTGATGACGAATTCCTTGTTCTTTGCAATAGTTATTTTTAGTTTGAGTGCCCGTATGGATTACTAAAGAACTTGGTTCTTTACCGTGTTTATTAAGCATAAAGTAAACAAGCAATAAAATGAACACAATAATTTTCACGTGAAAAATCACCCGGTTCAAAGGTGCAAAATTCACGACCTACAACATAGGATTTTCAACTCCAACTCCACTAGAACAATGAGACAAAGTGTATCAATTACAAGACTATAATTAAATACTCTCCAGTACTCCTACTACTCCTATTTGATTCACAAGTTACTCTAACTTGTAAAGCAAAATACTCACTCCAACTCACTAATTGTTTATGACACTTGATTACAACTCAATTTCCTAAAACACATTCACTAGACTGACTCGGGAAGGATACAAGGTAAGTACTCAACACAAGTAAACAACTTATGACTCTTTAGTTGATATGTGAAAGGATGGTTCGGAAATCCAAAGTCGATCCTATTTAAAATACAACTTGAGATCTTCTAAGAGTTCTATTCATAGTCAGCTTCCTCTTTGATAGGACTCCTATAGTTCCAAGGATTGCACAAGCTTTGAGACTTTAGTATGTGACTGAATAATCCATATCTTCTTGAGCAATGAACCTTATCACTTATAGTAGCCATCTTCCACCAAACTCGGACCTGGGTAACTTTGAGATAAAGTTACTGTCTTGTATAGATGTACAAGTATCACTCATAAGGAGCTGATTCTTTCTCCTGAAAAGCTGGTTCTTCAGAATAGTTCGTTGAGGACCTGGTTCTTTGAACATTTAGTCATACTTTGTTAATCATCAAAACTTCAATACTTAACAAATTCCCCCTTTTTAATGATGACAAACTTTGTACATAGCAAAAACAAATAATCACATCAAAGAACCAGATCAAAGAACCATATAGGCACAACAAGTACGATTGACAGACATGTATGTTCACAACACTTTACAACCTTATCTTCCCCCTTTTGGCATCATCGAAAACACAAAAAACAAATATTAGACATTAAGCACAGATAATGTAAGATTCAAGGCCAAACAAACTACAACACAAGCTTAAGAAAAGGCAAATAGACTAGGCTGATGATCCAATATAGTACAAAGCAGTAAAGCAGAGCAATATGAGACATTAAGTAGTGCCAAAAGAAGTCTTCATCATTAGAACCAAATAAACTAAGCATACTGCAAACTACTCAGACGAAGACAAAAAGGAACAAAAGATAAAGCATCACTAGAATAGCAAAAGAGCTAAGGACACTGAGAAGGAACAAGTTTATGGGTGAGAAGCAGAGGGGATCGAGGCTTTCATAAGGGTGGCAATCTATTGAGCATGAGCCTCCCTGTCTCTTCTGAGCTCTTCCCTAAGTTGCTTTGTTTCCTTTCTCAGCTCATTATTGTCTTCACGAAGCTTGGCATTCTCTTCAATAGCCAACTTCAACCTCTTGCTAAGTTCTACAACCCTACTGCTTCTAGGAAGAATAGCAAATCATGTGGGTCATCTAGCCTTGATTTCCTCATATCCATACTGCTTGAGGGTAACAACATCCAAAACATCATTGTGGTTTCCAAACTTAAGCTCAAGTAAGGCAATGTTGAGCTTTTCAAACAACTCAGTCAACATAAAACCATATGGCATAGCATGCTTTGGTTTGGAAGTATCTGCAACTTTTGCCATATGCTGAATCATTAGGCTAGGAATATTGATAGGTCTACCAGTGTCAAGCAACTCCATCACAACCATATCCAGCAGAGTAGCTTCATGCCTTTTCTCAAAGCTCTGAAGAATGGAGGAGTTGAAAAAATGAAACAATAACTTGTGGAAGGGAGTCATATCAGTCTTGTACACTTTCTGGGGAGCATCTAGTTCAAACTTTTGGGAGAACTTCCCGGTGACCACAATGCTAGTGTCAACATCATTGTCTATGGCTGGCCATTTCTTCTTCAAGTAATTGTCGAATCCCAAAGAGGAGATATTTAGAAGCATCCCCAGCTCCTTAGCATCAAACTCCATGTCAAAGCCCCCTACCTTACTCTTGACTACCTTCCCATCAAATGTGAAATTTGCATAGAACTCCACCACAACAGGAACACATACTGGGGGGAAGCTTTGACAAACATGTGCTTCCACCCCTGTAGCTCAAGTTTTTCAACCAGTTGAGCCATTCCCTTCTTATCAGTGTTCGCAAGAATCTTCCCATTTAACACTTTTCTATTCCTGAACTCTGTGAGTCGATCAACTGCAGCTGTACATTCTTTCTTGACTTACCCCTACTGGCCCTTACAGAAGAGGTAGCAGGTTTGGTGACTTTGGCACCCCTTTTCTTGGGTGTAGCAGACTTTGCTGGCAAAGCAGAGTCAGATTCATCTTCTCCATTCACCTCAACAACATGTTCCACAATTGAAACCTTTTTCTTTGGCTTCTTTGCACTTATGGACTCGTTAATGATATGTGCATCAACAACCTTTCTTTTACTCCTTATGAGAGGAGTTCTGGCAAGAGGAACCACTCATTTTCTTGTTGAGACTGCTGACTTTGTAGCTTTCACAGGGGTCTTCCTGGATTTCTTCCCTACCTCAGATAGTGGCATATCATCTTCATCAGTGCTAACTTCTTCATCTCCAGTGAAAGGAGTCAACAAAAACCTAGGTTCTTGAGCCCTTGTCTCTTCACCAATTTCTTCAGAAGGGGCTATGATAATGTTTCCAATTGTCATGCAACCCCTAGATTCCTCACTCACATTCTCCTCTTCTTACTCACTCTCTTCATCACCTCCTTCACTCTTACTTACTTTTTCTTGATCCTCACCCTTACTTTCAGAAACCTCCTCTTCTTCACTCTGATTTTCTTCTTTTGCAGAATCATTAGCCTGTTCACCTGTCTTATCCTCTGTATAACTCTCCTTCTCATCTCCAGATGCTCCCTCATTCTCACTCTTTTCTTCTTCATTGGCTATGTTTTGAGCATCATGTTCCTCGTGACTATTCACAGCTTCTTTTTCACCCCCATCATCTTCCTCATCCTTAGTCCAAATAAAGAAAAGACTATCAGAAGCCTCATTTTGCACAGGTTCTTTACTTTCTTTCCCCTCAACCACAGGCTTCACAATCGTTGTATCTACCTCTTTCCCCGGATCCCCTGCACCCTTTTCGACAATGAATTTCTCCACTGGTGGCTTTTCACTCGTGGGTGGGAGAGTATTTAGGGGAGAAACATCTATAGCAGACATCAAAATATCTAATTTGGAAGGAGGATGTTATACCTGATGTCGCACCCTGTTTTCTCGCGAAAGCGGGTTTCGACATGTGACAACTCTTTTAAAGAAAGGTTAAAAGAGAAGATTCTCCACCTAATAATTTTTAAGGTGCGTTAGGGTACCTCTTTGCAAATAACTCTGTTTGACTAGTACGTGTCACCAAAGACCAGGTAAGGGCTCAAATTACCTCAAAGAGAAGGTGTTAGGCACTCCTCAAGGTCCACAATTGTGGGTTCCGGCCGAATTTTAAACTATGTGGATTATGTGATTAGGCTAGGTGATCAAACAAAGGAAAATATAGAAGTCGAAGAGTTTTATCATAACACGTGAGAATCGGTACAAATCTTTAATGATTACAAGGATACAACTACATTGGTCTATGTTAGACTACTAAATGTAAATAACAAGTATATAAAGAAAAAGTGGGGTCCTAAGTTTTTTAGCCTAAAGGATTACCCCATGCAACATAAATAATACTTCGTAACTCCCTTAAGGTCAGGAGTTGCTCATATTATTCAACGGGCATAGACTATCATCTCCTGCTACCCAATTACTATGTTGAAGTTGTTACCTAAAGTCTCTCTAATTCAATTCTAAATCGTACTCTATGTGTGCACTACCTGTCCCATACCTGTGGTCCAGGAGGCTTTGGACCTCTATTTGGGTGGTTCTAAACTTTACCTAGGTTGCTCAAAATGATAAAGCTAATCCCGCATTCAAAACAAGTACGACTGCATATAATAGCAAAGAGTGGCTCATGTTAGCCTCCACACATAACGACAAAGCACACAAATAAGTTCCAGGCTACACAGTAGACAATTTTCAGATTAAGACATATTTGAGTTGTTAAGTCCTATGGGCATGATTTCTATATGATTCTGATTTCAAGCGTCGTACATGCAGTGTTGCTGTCCAAATTAACTAATTTGCACATTACGGATGTTATAAAACCTATAGACATGATTTCTAAGTTGTTTGAGCAACAAGCAGTGAGAGCTATTAGAAAACTTGGCATTACCAACGTTTAAGTCTATAGACATGCTCTCTAGGCAAGTAACAATATCCTATAGGCAAGGTTTCTAATGGTTGGTAGCTGAACTCGATTTTGTCATACTTATCCTATAGGCATGCTATCTTGGCGGGAGTATAATAAAACAACAGAAGCAGCCTATTAATTAATTAGTTACGACCCTATAGTCATGGATCTAGATGAGCATTAACAAAGGTATGTATTATTACAACCCCATAGGTATGCTATCTAATAATCATATAGATAGTCATGTGAGCAGGTAAAACATTTAGTCAAACAATCATGCTTTTGAATAATGTATAGGCATTTAGGCAAGTTAAGTGAAGTGTGTGATTTTCTATAGGCATGCTTTCTACTAGTGTGCAGAAGTAGAGCAAGTTAAACAAGATAGAAAATAAAGCACATGGACCTTATAGGCATCTTCTCTACCCTTTATGCAAGAATAAAGTACGCCCATTCCCCAATTTCACTAATGCCCCAATTATTCATTATTACAAGTTATAGGACTAAAATGGAACAATACAAACTCAAAGATGACAAAATACAGACTGAAACAAATACAAGCCTCATTAAACAGTACATGCCCACTATAAAATAACCTAGTGAATTTCTGGGCCTTCAGTAGCCTCACCAACCAACAGACCCA